AACCCTAAACCCTAAACCCAGCATGGGTAGCCGAAGGGAGGGAGGCTTCATACTCGGGAATGCAACCCTCAGTCCTAAACCGGTTTAGGGTTTAGGGTTTAGGGTTTAGGGTTTAGGGTTAGGGTTCCTAAACCGCACTTTTGTTAAGGGATGACCCCTAAAACCCTAGAAATTCAGGTGGATCCTAACTAAGGAACCCTCAACACCAAACCCAAAAACTCTTAGAACTCCCAAAACCCCTAAAGCCCTTAGCCTAAGCATTCCTAAACCCTAAACCCTAAACCCTAAACCCTAAACCCAAACCCTAAACCCTGAACCCTAAACCCTAAACCCTAAACCCTAAACACCAAACCCTAAACCCTAAACCCGAAGACCTTCACAACAAGTGCTCCGAAGAGGCCGTGGCCTTCATGGCGGCGGTGAACTCCAGCCTCGGTAGTTGGTCAACTCTGCTTCTGCCCTCCGGGGGCACGGATTTCTTGGATCTTGGGGTGTTGGGGTTTAAAGAGGGGTTATAAGGTTTGGGGGGAAGGATTTCTTGGATCTTAGGGTGTTGGGGTTGAGGGGTTATAATGATTTTTGGATCTTAGGGTAGGGTTTAGGGCTGTCAGGGTTTAGGGTTTAGGGTTTAGGATGTTAGGGTGTTGGGGTGTTGGATTTAGGGTTTAGGATGTTAGGGTGTTGGGGTTGAGGGGTTTTAGGGTTTGGGGGTTTCTAATCTTAGAGGTTAGGGTGTTGGGGTTGAGGGGTTATAGGGTTTTGGGGGGTCTCTAATCTTAGATGTTAGGGTGTTGGGGTTGAGGTTACTGTAGGGTTTAGGGTGTACGTAACGCTTATGCCTTATGCTACAAGTTCTAGGACGCTTTGGGCTGTCACTCTAGAGTCAGAGGCAGAGCTTTTGGCTCGAAGGGTTCAATATAGGGGCCTTAATAATCACGAATACTATTTTGAGGGTTCCTTATTAATTATAAGTATAGTATAGTGGACCCCCCAAACCCTATTGAAATTATTTAAGGCCCCTATATTAGGGTTTGTTGCGCATTCTTTGGGCCGGTAGGGCTTCTAGGGTCTCGGGCTTAGATCAATATAGGGGCCTCAATAGTTAGAAAAGGGTTTTGAGGTATATTGTACTATAGTTATAATAAGGAACTCCCAAAACCCTATTCTAGTTATTACGGCCCCCCAGATGAGGGTTTAGGATTTAGGGTTTAAGGTTTCCATGACGGCCAAGGAACGTTTGCGACCTTAGCCGCTTCTCTCCCACACAGAAGGCCGGCTGAAGCTGTGCCTACAAGGATTGGGGGTTCAGGGGTTTAGGGCTTAGGGTTTAAAGGTTCAGGGCTTCTTGTGGGGGTTACTAACAGCCGCGTGGGCTGTGCATGTGTTTTTTCAAATCTGGGCTTCGGTACGATCGGCATGTGCTAGTGCTCTGCTGGCCTCGTAGTTTGGCCTGTGTAGCTCTCCCGCAAGAGTGAAGTCCACAGCACACGAGCCAACGACTCCACACGCTGAGCCGCTGAGCCCGAACACCTCAGACCGACGTTCATGGGTTTAGGGCTTTAGGGCTGTCGGGGTTTAAGGATTTGGAGCTTTAGGGTTTAATGTTTAGGGGTGTAGCGGCTGTGTGTTGAGGGATTTATTCAGACAACTACCATGTTCTAGGTTTTAAGAACTGCCTCGATGAGTTCTGTAAGAACGTGTAGAAGAAGACGATACAGGAAGATGTATCGATCTCAGCCTGAACAGCCCGAACCGCAGATATTCATCCGAAGTCGTGTCCTAAGCCGTGAGCCATAGTACACCCTAAACCCTAAACCAGAGTAAGCCCTAAACACTTAACCCTAACCCTGAGTAAACCCTAAACCCTAAACCGCAGTACGCCCTAAACCCTAAGCCCTAAACCCTAAACTGTAGCAGAAAGAGCCCACAAGTAGGGTTTAGGGGTTTGGGCTTCAGGGTTTAAGAGTCCTTGCAAAGCCCTTATGAATCTGTAATTTTTCGGAAGTCCTTATAACACCCTGTGCAGCCCGTGCAAGCATACAACATCAAAACGCGTTCAGGGCCCGATGCCGAAAGCCTTATGAAGCCTTAAGCGCCAAAAGACCTTATACAAGCACTCCAAGTTCGTATTCATCACGTCCAACCCGATAAACCCTCCGAAGCCCTAAACCCTAAACCCTAAACCCTAAACCCTAAACCCTAAACCCTAACCCCTAAACGCAACACAACTGGTTCAGGACCAGGTCTGGGGACAAGCGGTGGGAGTGCCGGTGCCCTTTCTCGCCACCCTCTTTGTCGGAATGTGCCTTGCTTAAAGGCTTCAAGGGTTTGGGGCTTTGGGTTTATATGGTTTAGGGTTTAGGGTTTATAGGGTTTAGGGTTTATAGGGCTTATAGGGTTTAGGGTTTAGGCTTTTATGGGTTCGGGTTTAGGGCTTTAAGGGCAGTTGGGGCTTTAAGGGCTGAGAGGTGTAAGGATACTAAAGTTAAAGGCGAATTGAGGTTGGGGGTAGAGGCCACATGTTATGAATAGGATGTCGAGGCAGAGGGGTTCAAGGGATGTACGATGTCTGCTTCAAGTTGTGCGGCCCTTCAAGGCTCTCAGACTGTATGATTCGACTTAAACCCTAAACCCTAAAAGCCCTAAGCCCACAGGACAAGACCTATAGAACCCCGCAAAAAAGGCCTTAAGTGAATCCTTTAGGGACTGCAACAGGAACATGGCTTTAGGATCATTAGTGCTTAATGTTCCCGAAGGGCATCATGATGTTCACGCTTTCTCCCTAAACCCTAAACCCCTAAACCCCAAATCCTAAACCCTAAACCCTGAACTCTAAAACCCTAAAGCCCTAAACCGTTTGAGGTGGGTTGCTGGAGCCACGAAAGTCGCCTTCGGCAGCGCCGTCTGGCAGCTTCCTTCGATATTCGGTGGCCTGGGCAGCCAAAACCCGTCTAGGGGTTTAGGGGTCAGGGGCTTTTCGGGTTTGAGGGTTCCGGGTTTAGGGTCTAGGGCTTGAGGTTTTGTGTCTAGGGCTTAGGGTTTGAGGTTTAGGGGTTTAGGGTTTCGGGGTTTAGGGTTTGGGGGTTTTAGGGTTTGGGGGTTTCGGGTTTAGCGCAATGAGGTTGTATATGACCTGGTTGGGGTCGTAAGTAGTCTTAGCTACATAAGATAGGTACCTTGTTTATGACCCTAGCTGCAAAGCCCCCATGACCCTAAACCCCAATCCCTTCGGCGCAGTGTGATGGATTTTCGCATAACCCCCATGAATCAAGGTTCCAATATGTTCTGACCTATGAAGTTCCTGGATCCTCCAAGTATCCATAATACTGGTGAGCTCAAAAGAAGAAGTACATTGTAGATGAATCGGGGGAAGACGGGACCTCTTTGGTCTCTCCGGGTGTTCATTGATCTTCCGATGTGCATGGCTCCCTGTTTTGGGGATGGGGCGACAAAGATGAGGATGACACGAACCGAGGTCACATCAGTAGCAGATGGCGGCCACGGAGGGAGTAATAGAAAATGCCATGAGCACTACCACCTGAAGTAGCGATATCTGATGCTGCTCGCACACAGAAGCAATGAACAGAATGACAGTAGACCGTCACCGAGCAGAAAGGCAACAGACCCCGAGTCGAAAGCCCTGTACCTTGGTAAGCTCTGTGTGCATTCAGGCCACTGGCATCCAGTGATCAGTGTTCTGGGCGCACTGGTGCTGTCCATCGGGACGCTGGTGCCTCTCCTTCACATTTCCATGGACCTGAGTCATACACCCACAAGGCTTTATATATGGACAACTATAGCATGAGGGCCCTCTTGGCTGCAATCAGCAGGGCCAAACCCCAAACGCTTTAGAAGAAGTGAAGCAGGTCGAGGCCATGATCTCCAATCTCAGAGTCGTGTCTTGTTGCGGCTGATATGTCTTAGCGGCTTCGGTTTTTGACTTTAGGTTCTTGGTGGTCCCAGGCTTTTTTGTGAGTTTCCGGGGTTTGGGGCCGAGAGCCTGAAATCAAAGAGCCTGGCAGAGAGTCGTGGTACCTTATTTTGGGGGTCCTTATAATAAGGATCCTACTATTTCGGTACTATACTAGGGTCCCCTCTTCTCTGAAACTCCCGTTTAGCGGTCTGAAAAATTTGTAACAATATCACCCGCATAGCCTCTTCATTTTCCATGCCAGAGCATACTCTAATGATTATATACCCTATATTCCTGGTACGGCTGCTCTACAGCGTTCAAAAAGCCTCTGCCGAGAGAATCTCCAAGCTCAAGCTCGATACGCGCTGCAGCCCCAATGTCTAAGACTCAAAGTACTCAAAGATTACCTACTTTGGGGTCTAACGTCTATATGGGTAGTTGTCAAAAGTATGGTCCCTTTTGGGGTACCCTAAATAATAGGTGCCGTATTATAATAAGGACCCCAAAAGGAACCCTAATTTTGACAACCACCCATATTTGGTACCTACTTTGGGCTAGTTGGAGCCTTGGGGAATCGCAGGTTGTAAACATCTTGGCCAACATCCTGTCTCCCATCAACGACACGACCTCAGTCGCAGCGAGCGTGCTTTTGAACAGTACCTGTCCAAAGCCAAATCGCCGTAACTATGGTTACCACATCTCTACATTATGTGACATACAACAGATGGGTAGTAGACTGAGACTATCAAAGGCTATGCTATTGTAGACAAGGTAAGGAAATCATGGCTGGTGAGCTTGCCGGGGTGCTGCTTTTCTCATAAGGAGGAGAATGAGGGCAGCAACCGCAGCGGAAGGAGTCACGTCCTGCGAGTGGTATTGGTGTTGCTTGCGACAGTGGTTGTAGTGGTAGTAGTAGTACTAGTATACGTATAGTAGCAGTAGTAGTAGTAGTAGTAGTAGTAGTAGTAGTCGTAGTATTAGTAGTAGTGGTAGTAGTAGCAGTAGTAGTAATAGTAGTAGTAGCAGTAGTAGTAGTAGTAGTAGTAGTAGTCGTCGTCGTAGCAGCAGCAGCAGGAGTAGTAGTAGTAGTAGTAGTAGTAGTAG